TCCAAAGAGCAAACGTTCCGCTAGAGGGCGGCTCGCGCCGTCCTCTAGTGGCGCACGCCACCCTCTATCCGCTCAACTTGCCGCTCTGAAAAGTTGAAGAGCGCTCGGCTGGGCGCGCCGATTCTCTCGCTCCGATGCGGAGGCGCGCCGGGATCTGGTAGCTACGACTCGGATGATTGGAGTGCTCGAAAGTGACTAACCGAATATACCATAAGTATGAAACAGAGTATAGAATTATTTTAGCACCTGCGCCTTCGCGGGGAAGTCGTAGAAAGCGACTTAGAAGACTTAAATTAGGGAGTTTTAGTAGACCGCGTTTCCCCCTTCGCTAAAGGTCCATACGCACGTTCGCGTTTGAACGCGTTTGAGTGCGTGGCGGAGTCTTTGCGGCCAGGCGCGGTCACTTGCGGAGCGACGCGCGCCTTCCCGCAACGCTTGGTAGCGCGACGCAAGCGGGTAGAGACTCGCTCAACTTTCCGAAGCGTTGCGGTGCGTTTGGGTGCGTTCGACCAGTCAGAAGCCGAAAGAGGAGGGGGGGTGACGTGTTCGCTCGCCCCACCCGGCCGACTCGGCGAGACATATCCGGTTCGCCTGTCGCAGTGCTTGCTTTTTCGTTTTGGGAAGCGGTGGGGACTGTATTTTCCAAGGCTGCGATGGTTCAAGCTTGACGAAACGTCGGGGAAGCCGGCGAGATTGTCCCAAGATCGAACACTTCGACGCTGTCGCTGTGCGCCGCCATGTTGCCTTGGATTTCGCTTACTATTGGTGAGCCACTAGCGACGATAGTGCGTTCTTATTGGCTCTTGACTGCGGTTGACTGCGTGTCAACACAACTGCGTACAAGTTTGGCGCAAGCGGTCTTCGCAACGCAACGCGTCCGCTTGCCGCTACGGAACGCACCGCGATCAAAAATGTGCGTATGGGCCTTAACCCTCCGCCACAAAGAACGCGCCACTACGCCTGCGCGCCGATGGCCTTGGCTGGAGAGTTCCGAGTAGCAGAGGGGCTTAGCGGAGGGGGAAACACGGTCTCCTAAACTCGCTACTGAATGAAGCATATACCCAATTAGCTGTACTATACGATTTCCGGGGAACTTTTCAAGATGCAACCTGACTGCTGAGACAAGGGTCATTAAAGTAGGACACTGACAAAATTCCTTGCAGACCAAGGTATGTGCGCGTTTTTTTTTTTTTAGCAAATGGGCTTTTGCTGGGAAGCCAAAGCTAGCCACACAGTAGGCTATTACTGAACGTAGTATATACCCAACTAACTGTACTATATGATTACCGGGGAAGTTTGTGTGATAATTACTGAATGTTTCAATCCATAGTCCTTGCCTTCAGTGATGTGGTTGCTGCTTTAAAGGGAAACTACAACGAAGTTTCGGCACTAATTTTTTGGTCTATATGTGTTCAAAAGAGCAGTATCACAGGGAACATACCAATGTCTTGTTAAAAAAGTCTCGTAAAGGAACTTTAAAACAAATTAAACGATTAGCAAAGAGCACCTGGTGGATGTCGCTAGCGCCTCGTTTGTAATGCTCGTCTAGGAACCTTGACAGCTAGTGACGGAGGTTGTCTTGTCTCCGGCCACGACGAGAGAAGGGGGGAAGGAGGAACTCCCCTCTTCCCGAGAATCCCTTTTGTGTGTCGCAGAAGTCGCTGTTGTCCCCCTAGAAGATTTTAGAAGATTAATAACCCGTCACTCAAAATTCATACAAAAGCAGCTGCTTCGGTGGCTGGAACGACTAGGCCATCCTCTCGACGTCAGCCTCGCCGTAGCTTTGCTCGTCTTGAAACGACCTACGCCACGATTGCGTTGGATGTCACGTGCTCTAAGCTGGGCCTTCTCTGAGCGCTTACCAGAGTGGGCCGTTTATAACGAAAAATACAGCCACCAGGATCAAAATACAAACGTGCGATTGTCATTTACAGATATTGTGGATCATATTCAACCTATTTTTGAACACAACGGTAATATTTCAAATTTCGTTGAAGTATCCCTTTAAAGAGCCTTTTACCCTTGTACATTTTGCTAAAATGGGAGGAACTTGTGCCAACATTGTGCCAACGCTTATATTCACTTTATTAATACCGATAATATAATAAATGACGCACCACTACACGGCCAAATCCTTACGGTAGACTTGTGCGAATCTCCGAGACTTTCTATTATCACCTAAAATGACATGATATTCCATTTGATCTCTGTATCAAACATTGACAGTTTTGGAAGTTTGGCAATATTTCTCACGCCTGTCTGTTTTGGCTAGATAGCTAGCATTATTGAGTGCTCTTGTCATTGCGCAGTTGTGAACTGCAGTAAAGCGACAGCTGTTTAGTAGGCGTCGCAAGTATGTATACCATGCTTCGCCGCGGCGCACCCGTGTGCTGAGGGAAAAGCACTCCTCCAGAGTGGGACGTTATACACGGTGTCTCAGTAAAACTGCACATAGTATAGACATGTGATAGACTGCAATATTCTGATAATATATTTTCACATTGGAGGTTCATCGAGGATGCTCGAATCTTGCGAGAAGTTTTATTTTTCATGTCAACTCTAGTTTAGTGATTACCTTTATATAGGTTCCATCCTTTCGACGGCACAATGAATGCAGTAAATTTTAACTAAATTGGCTGAAGCAGCAAATGCAAGCCTGGAAAGACCCTGAACGAGTTTGGTGGGTTTTTTTTTTTTTTTTAATTGTATCGTTTACATGTTAATTTTTGTTATCATGAGAGTTTGCTTATGAAATGTAATAAACCCTTATCAAAAGTCCATCAAGCAATACTGATGGTCGTCATTTCTTCGGCACGAAGCGTGTGATTGAATCTGAGTCCTCGCTGAACGCTGATGCGGCACTCGTTTTCAGTACAAACTAAGACAAGTTTATGCTGAATGCTGACGCAGCCCTCGTGTCCACCAGATGCTGAGAGTATCTGATTAAGCAATGGCAGACCGGAAATGGCACTGACTTTTGAAAAGGGTCTTTTGATGTTCATCAGTGGCGTAGGAACAGGGGGGTGGGGCAAAGAGGAGCCTTTTAACCCCCCCCCCCCCCCTCTCATCTCCCGAATAGTTTCGTCACATCTGATGTGCATAATCAAGTGGCAAAAGCTTTATTTTCTTTCTAAACTGCGTTTATTTTTTATTACAACATTTAGAGTTTAAAGAAGACATCAATTTGGGTACTCAAAATGATTATATTCTGACATTAATTCAGTGAAATATACTATTTGGTTTACATTTGATTTCATACTTAAAATAACCATGCATAGAAGTTTGTACTGCTCTTTGTCAATCAGCATCTTGTTATTGTGCCTTACGCTTCTATGCGCAATTAACCTGCTAGCTACGGGATCAAACATGCCACATTCTTAATGCCATTAAAAAGGTTGCACAGAAGCAGGAAGGCAAAGTAGACATAAACACATAAATCTCAATTTGATATTCGAACTGGTATGAATAAAAATTAAATGTGTGCTATGCTCCAAAAGTACTCTTTGCTGCCCCAAAAGGGACTTTTGGCTGCTCCGAGAGATGCTCCAAAATGACTCGGACCAATCACATCACTGCACCCTTGTTAAAACTGAAGGCACCAGCTACTGCCCGTTAAATAGGGTACATCCATCCATCTATGGCAAGCACAGCTTCCCCGCTTGGGTAATAGAACTTGTTATCAGCTGATTACAAGAAGTTTGGTGGTGTAAAATAAGTGCTACAGAAACTCACACATGCTGAGCAGCACGACAAATGTGCAGCACCCTCCGTTTTCTAGACTGCCCGTTGTTGCGTCACACCCCCGGAAAGTGCAAAGAAATTGGATTCTTAGTTTTGGCATCACCTCCATTTGCCATTTTTGCAATAGCTACTCTAAATTTATAGTTTTTAAATAGCATGTTGGAAAGAGTGGAGCCTGGGTACCCGGGAAATGTAGTTAGTTTGGATAGCTGAAAGAAAAATGAGTGTACCCCTCCAACTGTTTAGAAGAGACCATGCTACGAGACATGGCACATTCCTATCGAGAATTTCCCGAAGTGGCAACAGATGGCGTTGCAGGATCCGGCGTGTCACGTTGTCGGATGTCACGATGTAGTGGTTGGCCGTAGAAGTCCGGGCAAAAAGTAGGAGCGAATGCAAGTGTCGCTGTCGTCACGACGCTCCAGCTCTTGGCTGCTCAAGATTCCGTGGACCGCCAAGCCAGAGAGTGACTTGCAGTAGAACAGGCGTCTGCTGCATCCGCATTTGCTGCTGTGCCACTGTTAGGATCTCTGCAGGCAACAGCGGGACACTCTTAACGGTGTCATTTTGAGGAAATGGGGAGACTGCATTTGGGTACATGGTAAAGTCAGAGAAACGTTTTAGGCACCAAGGCATTACCAAGCTTCCCGCCAGCTTGAAAGCGAATTTTCGGTATAAACGTCTAGATGGCGGGTGCCTTGAGAGGGCTTCTAACCTCTGCCGTTCCCCTCTCCGAGTTAGTGAGGTTGAAAAGTCGTCTGTAACCAAGGTGGCCACAGCTCGGATATTTAAGACAGAATGGACCGCTCTTGCTGCCTTTTTGGCGTGGTTTCCACCCTGAGAAGCCTTTCTGAGGAAACGTGGGCTTAAGTGGCTCATATCTGTAACAGTTGGCTTAGACATCGTACATCATGTTCCAAGGGTACAGTCTGGCTCCCCTTTTATTTCTGTGTCGCACCTGTCTTGTGTGTTTGCTCGTTGGTGCATCTGTGTGCGGGCGATCTGTCCTAGAAACGTTGGTTAGTTGTCTCAGTCGAGCGTCCGTCGACACTTCACGAAGCAGCAGACGAGGCTGCCAGACAAGCAATGCTAGGGCAGTATACGCAAGAACGTCTCTCTCGCATTGCTGGGGCCAGTTTCATGGCCTCTTATCTCATCTAGGAGGGCACCTAGGCTCTCAGGAGCACTGTGCCAGGTTTTGCTTTCCATTTGCACGCACTGGTACCTCGCAGGCAGTGCCCCATAGGACTAACGTGGCCTTTGTTGCTCCCTTCCCTCCCTCCCCCGACTCCCTGGAGCTAGATTTCCCCAGCTATAGTTCCAGTCGCAGCAGACACGGTGAGTTTCTGCCAGCTTGCACAGTCCTCCTTCCCGTGGTGTCGCTTTCCGAGGTCTCATACCTTTGGTGACGGGTCGTGTGCATGCTGCTTGCATCCTGTGTCGGCTGACCAGATTGGCAGGCGGAGTTTAGTTGGTGTCATCAGCCTCGTCTCAACACTTGCGTGACTATGTGGACAGCGCGTGAACCATGCACAGTCTCGGCGGCGGGACGCGGGGGTGTTTGCAGGGCTTTTTGGAAACACCGTTGGGGAAATCATGCCGTTCACACTTGTTTGGCCAAAACCTTGCATGGGTCTTCGGTGGTCTGCAGCTTTTGCTTGTCACAGGAGAGTTGGACGAGGTACTAACAGAACACATAAGCCCCGGATACTCCCATTAAAGGAATTGTCTGGAAACAAAATCTGCCCAACTTTTATTTAATAGGTTTTTTTTTGTGGGGGGGGGGGGGTGGGTACAGTACATAGTTTGTTGGAACTGTTAGCCATCTCGGGCTGCACGGCTCAAAAATGGTGGCACGTCTGTGGTGTTGCGGTTTCCTTAAAAGAGGTGTGCAACGATTTTAACGTTGAAAGAATTGGCACCTTCTACTTTTGACATTGTTTATCTTGTCACAAAGGACAGAAAGCTCACTTCCTCCTTTCAAAAATGTTGCGATTCCGCCGCGTAATCGCGAGGCAAAAATTGGAATATTCCCCGACCTGCAGCCGCGAGCGGCGGCCATGAGAAGCACGTGGTATGACGTCAATGGGGGTCTTCTAGAAAGATAGCAAGTTGTGCAAATACCTGCTCGATAAAAGGTAAGTTTTCTATAAATCTTGTCGTTCCAATATAAATATAAATGCGTCAGAAACCGGGTTTCATCGACAAAACTTTAATTATACGGAGTTTTAGTGGCGCTATCTACCTAGGTCCACAAAACCGTCAGCTCTATCTGCTACCACGAACAGCCGCCAGAAGCCGGAGGGGGCCGGGGGACAGAGCTGGACGGGAGTGGCCGGACCCGGATGAGACTTTCCTCCTTTCACCATATTGTTCGCGCTGCGCCAGCACGCGGTCGTGATTGGATGAGTTCTCGTTGCTCACTGATGGTTCTAGAGAGAAAGCTTCACCGGAACCCCGCGCGACCCCCATTGACGTCACAGCACACGTGACTTGTAAGATGGTGAAGGAGTTGAGAGGCGCCGAAAACCTCAATCTTTGTCCATTTTGAAAATAAAAACTAGGACATGCAGGCAAAAGCGGTTTTTTGTTCTTTATTTCACCAACTCCCAAATTATTTAAGCAAAGCACTGAAATTGTTGCACAGCTCCTTTAAGCGTCGGATTGATGGTGTGAAAGAAAAGGGGACACATGCAAAAGAACCTAGTGTGCGCTCGAGCTGCTTATCTCCCACCATGGACACTCTTTGTTGCTAAAATTACTCTCGAGCCTGAGACGTGCCACCATCCTTGAGGACTGTTGCCTCAGATTTTCGACGGATGGTGCCAAAATGACTGAGGTTTATTACTGCCGAGCTCACCATTTGGTAAGTATTTCGGCAAAAGATGCGTCAGTATTTTGCTACCGTGAACTATATTCGAGCGTGGAACAAGCGCATTTTGTGGCTAAGGTGTTTCCCCTCCAGCCTTTGGGAGACGGTGGGTGTCCACTCACTATGCCTCACCTTCTCTTGCATGCTGTCGGCATCGCCTGGACACCCGTGTTGCCTGGACACGCCCACAGTCGTGAGTGTTGTTTTTTCCCTCTTCGCTGTCCGCTTCCTTGGCTTATTCTTTTGACACATTGGTATGCGGAGAGCAAGTTGTCTGCTTCTTGCGCGAGAGTTGTGGTGACATCAGAAAGACGCTGAGCTTTGATTGGCTCTGATTGAAGGATAGTGGGTAGACCTCAAAGCAAGCTGCCTTGAGGTCTACCCACTATCTTTCATTCAGAACCAATTGGAGCTCGGCGTTCTGACGTCACCACAACCCCTGCAAACGAAGCAGACAAACTTGCACTCCGCAAAATGCAGTGAGCATGGTCACCCGATACGTTCAATGCTCTGGATGGGATGGCTGGTAACATCCTCTATCGTTCATTGTAAGGCAATACGGAGTTTAGATTAAATCCTTATGTTGCCAAAAAAAAAAGTTAAATTCAAATTATGATCTAAAAACAAGGAGAAAATTAGCCATCTGCGTTTAACCCCTATTTGAAGCTCTTTTTATTTACGTTCCACCCATTGAAAAGCACAGTGAAATAGCCCATGCATTTGCCTGAACTCACCACACCACCGTTTCTCTACACGATAAAATCCGTCTGCTATGGTCCCCACCGAGAGCCGGAAGCGGTTGCCTGATGGACCAATGGCCGTTCCGACGAGGCTTGCTGCAAGCTGGAAACCGAAATTCGATTCTACTTTTTTTAAAGTGGAGCAGATCAAAGCGAGCGGTGACTACATACAACGCAGCCTGTTTGGAATCCTAGCGTATTGTCTAAGGACTGTCCCCAACAAGACAGCAAATGCCGTGCACAACAGAAAAAAGCGAGTGCGCTTCTCAAAAAGCTTTGTGGTGTGCACGTATGTTTTCAGTGAGGACATTAACCATGCAAACAGCAAGGCTTTCCTCTTCACCTCCTTGCTGTCGTCTTTTCGCCTTGTCTTTGGGCGGTTGGGGTCTGACAGCAACAGCTGAGGCCTTGACGACAGCCAATAGAACGTGCGGGTGACCGTCCGGACCCACGTGATAAGCATGCTCCAATCCTCTGTCTGAGGACGGAAGCAGAGGGTAGCTTTCATCCAGGTAAAAAGAATGTCTCAAAACAGACTGGAACCGGAGGGAAACCTACATTTTCGGTACAGCAAATGCTGTGAACTGCAGAAAATGTGTCCTGCTGGGACAGCTGTTCGCCGAGTCTGGAGGAACCAGGAGCAGATTTATGGGGGAGGGGGGGGGAGGGTATGCAAGGGAGCTACCCCCCCAGTCAACTTTTTTTAGTGAAAAAATTGACATATACCATCTTTTTTAGGAAGATAGGTTTAGTTTTGATGACATAGGAAATATTAGGTCAACAAAATAGATCTGGGCAATGTTTCACCCATGACACATTATCTGCCCCTCTTTCATCCATTTGGCAGATGCTTCATTGCCGCAGCAAGTGTGTGGCAAAGCACTGACCCAAGCTCTTCCCACACTTCCCAACGAGGGCCGCGCGTGTCGTCTCCTCTCTCGCAGCCGCTCTCTTCCAAGCGGGAGATGTTCTTCTGCGAGGGTCCCCCGGTGCCCGGCACGGTTCCGGCAGCTGCGCCTCCGCCGGGCTCGGCACCGAGAGAGGGTGGCACCTCGCCGTACGCCAGCAACGGGCGCCACGAGGCAGAGGGCTACGTCGGCTTCGCCAGCCTGCCAAACCAGGTGTACCGGAAGGCCGTTAAGAAAGGCTTCGAGTTCACTCTCATGGTGGTCGGTAAGGCTCAAACGTTCTCGAGGACGACTCTGTTAGGAAACCCGCTTTCGAAACGAGGAACCCTCGCGTCCGTGGGAGCCAAACCGTGGCGAGCCAGATTCGATGACAGTGGTGCCCTACGATGGTCAGTCCAAACTCGTGAGATGTCACACTTGATATGAGCTCGAACGGTCCGTCACGCGTTAACAAAACTTAAGAGACAGTAGAGGCTGTGAGAACTGAAAAAAAAAAAAAAGGAAGGATCGACTGTTTCAGGTCATATTGATTGTGATGGTACATAATCAGTTTTGAGTTCAGGGTTATAGCTTACACCACGATGTCAGCTTAGGAGTTATAGCTCAGCGCCGAAATCGGGAATCGGATCCAGTTCTCCGGTGCAGGCTCCGCAGCAGTTTCCCAACAGAGTCGGCGCGGTAACCTCGATAAGGCTGGTTTGGCGTCCCTCGTGTTGAGACGCGCGTTCCCCGGGGCCGCAGGGGAGTCCGGCAAGTCGACGCTGCTCAACTCGATGTTCCTGACGGACGTGTACTCGAACGAGTACCCGGGGCCCTCCTAGCGGGTCAAGAAGACGGTGCAGGTGGAGACGACGCGGGTGGTGCTGCGCGAGGGCAGCGTGCACCTCTGCCTGACGGTGGTGGACACGCCGGGTTTCGGGGACGCCGTGGACAACAGCCAGTGCTGGCAGCCCGTGGCGGACTACGTCGAGGCCCAGTTTGCCCGCTACCTGGACGCCGAGTCCCGGGTGCACCGCTCGGCGCTCTCCGACGGACGGGTGCACTGCTGCCTCTACTTCATCGCCCCCTCGGGTCACGGGTGAGCCCCGGGCCCTGGAACTACGACTCTTTTCACCGTGACTTTGTGAAGAGCGAATGCTTCGGCCCCCTCGAACCAGTCGTAGCGATGGAGGCGAAGCATGTGGCAAACCTTACCAAAGCGTAAACTGAAACACTGGATCTGAACTCTTGCTGCGCCCACAGTTTCCACTTTTCGTTCCCTCGTGTGTTTTCGCTGAAGCTTCTTTAAAAAAATGTGTCGCAAATTTCCCTGCAGTTATGTGACTACGTGAAACATTCTTGGGATAGTGCTAGTGGTGCTAAACCACTAGTGCTAAACCAAGTTTTTAGTGGTGAGTTAGTATCAGTTAGAGTTTTCTAGTGTTAGAGTAAGTTTGTGCTAGTCAGTAAGTGGTGTAAACACCACTTTTCGCATGCCAATTTTCCCGTGAAATCTAGCGGGAAAACTGAATTGGCGTATAGGTCACGTGGCATCAATTTTTCCACTAAATTTAGGGGGGAACCTGAATTTCTGTAAAGGACACGTGACACAAAGTCATGTGGCATAATTTTTCCTGTTAAGTTTAGCAGGGAAACTGAATTTGTGTTTAAGTCATGTGACATCAATTTTCCCACTAAATGGGGAAACTGAATTTACGTATAGGTCTTGGGACTTGAAGCCATGTGACATTATTTTCCCCGCTAAATTTAGCGGAGAAATTTGCAGTTACGCTCCTTGTCACTTCATTTCATCTGTAAACCTAGCCTATAAATGTTTCATGCAAGAAACAGCCTAGAGGGTTGTTTCAACTCGTATTGCTCGCGGTAGTATGGGAGCGAGAGCGTAACCCAAGCAGTTGGGAAAGAGGTGAAGGAGGAACTTTCCACTTGCCCAGGCCCTCTTTTATGTGTCCCAGACAATTGTTTCGTCCTCCTCAGAGATTAGCCCGTCGCTCAAAATTCGTACAAAAGCAGCTTTCCTCTCTCTTATGCGTACAACTAGTGAGATAGACTATAGTCACATGTCTGCCCCTGGCACGCTGATTGGCCAAGTGGAATCTTAGCATTCGCCGTTTGCCAAGTTACGGTGAGACGGAGTATAGGGAAATTGCAAACCTCCAAACGTTTGCTAAAATTTTACGAAATTCGTTTTGAACTGTGTTTGCCCGACTTCTGCACAAAAAGTTTTTAATACAAATTACTTTATAAGATTGCTGTCGCAAACCTCCAAACTTTTGGCAAAATTAGACAAAATTCATCTTTACCTCTGTTACTTGACCTCTACACAAATATCTCAAGTTTCGAGAACAGTCTTTTATATCGCATAGTGTTCTACATTTGAAAGAATAATTACCCATGTCTTTCCAATAAAAAACAAATATATCAACTTCTGTAATAGAGTTAGTTTCTCAAAAGCTGCACCCCTCTTGCACTCACAATGTCAGCTCTTTTTCAGTTTATGCATTGTCTGTTTGTGTTTACCACATCCTCGTTCGTGTTCCCTCAATTTCTGCTCAACAATGTTGCACGTGCGTCGATCCGTTATGTGCTACACTCCCGACGGTGGCACAGCAACAGACACGGCACTCCCATGTCTGCTGCTGCTGCAAAACGGTTGTTGCAGACGCCCGTTTTGCCGTGTGTCACACTCCAGCGCAACAGTTCACGAAGGTTCGATCAACCAGGAGTTTGGACGCCGGGAACGACTGCGCCATTTGCACTCGTCCGTCTTTTTCGCCGGCGCTACGACCAACTGCCCGGATTGTAGCATCCGACAGCCCCACACATTGACTCCCGTGGCGTAAATTGGCGGCACCTTGGGGAAAACAAAAAGATTTGACATTCGTGTTTAGACGGCGTAAGGTCGGTCTGCCTTTGAGGTATGGCGACGCTGGTCCCCGCTAGATGTGAGGAATTCAGTTAGTGCATTACTACTGCTAGCTTGGGGTCTCTAACATGACCCCAAGCTGTTACACGACAGCATGCCGTTGGAGTGTCCATCAAGATCAAAATGGGCAAGAATGTGGACCGAACCCCGGGCTCTATGGCAGGAGGTTTCGCTCAAAGTGCTCCGAGTCGCAGTGCGCTAGAAAGCTTGGCCGCCGATCCCTCTACTTTGGGCCTTCCGACGCGCAGGCGGCATAGGATACCAAACACGTCAGTCGAGGACGCGTTCGAGGGACAGCGTCCCCGGAGTCTGGGATCGGGTTCTGAGCCCCGTGGTGCTCTTTGCGCAGGCTCAAGCCCCTGGACGTGGAGTTCATGAAGCGCCTGCACGACAAGGTGAACATCATTCCCGTGGTGGCCAAGGCCGACACCATGACACCCGAGGAGTGCAGCCTCTTCAAGAGGACCGTGAGTGTCGGGCCGAAAACTTGCGCTTCGTGTCGCGTCGACAGCGAGCGAAGCACGAGCTGCGACAGCGGGTACCGCGCTTTGGTCGAGCGTACTGGGCGTGTACGCTCGCGCAGTGAATGGGTCATTCGGGGCAAGACAGTCACACCTGCGGTTTTGACTTTGCCTGCACGTACGATGCCAAAGGATGGCCTGAAAGTTAAATCAATAGCGGTATGCCAGAAGCTTTATTTGCGACTTTAGCAACACAAATTCCAAATTTGAACATAGTCAAATTTATCGTCATATTTTCAACCTAATGTGAACTTTTTTAACCTTTCAAATCTCCCGGTTTGATCGTCCAACCTCGGGTTTGAAAAGTCGGCGGCATCTACGTCCTGCGCCTCTGCTTTCGACGTGCCTGTACGCGAGACCTGGTGACCATTTTTAACGCCGAGTTTGTTTTAACAGATGAATTCTATGAGAAATCTATCATGAAGGACGGTGACATTATCACGTTATGATACACCGTGATGTCACATGACACCATGTGCAACCATGGTGTCATGTGATGCCATGACATTGTGTGACGTGACACACATACACTTGGGTTGCACGGACGTCACTTTTGACCACCATGTAAGGGTAGGAAAGGGAAGTTGTTTTTGTAAGAATTTTGAGTGAGGGGTTAGTCTTCTATAATCTTCTGGGAGGAGAATAGCGACGTCTGCGCAAATCCGGAAGTTACAAAAGAGGATCCTGATGAGAGGGGAGCTCCCTCTTCCCCTCTTCTCTGGTGGTCATCACAACGCTCTTTGAATGACGTCACGTGCAACCCATGTATAGCATGCGCCCAGCTCATTCTCGACACATTCTTTGTCAAGATGACCAAGCTTGTAAAATAAACAAGTGATTACAAGTTATTCCGGCTAATACATGGTGGCAGTTTTGGTTTTGAAGGGGTACTCCGGCGATTTTTTGAGCTTCCTCAACTAACTGTATTTTCTGACTCCCCGGCCTTTACCTTTTCCGGTATGCTATTTAGTATTGCGAAATTCATAATAGTTATTGCGAAATCGGCAAATGAAAATTATGCAAAAACCAACATTCAAATATACCCGCACTTTTCAATGCCGTGACGTCAGTGGCAGTCAGGCTTGCCAGTCGAGCGAGCAGTCTAAAAAATATAATATGGCAGTCATTTGTTTCGTGCTGGAGCGCGGGGACTGGAGCGAGCTTCCAAAGCATTCATTTGACACCATGAAACTGCTTCGAATCAGTTGGGAACAAATTCTACAGTCCAAAAAGTGAACTTCCACTGACGTCACTTTTTCGTTGTTGCCAGTAGAGACATTCAGTTTGAAAAGCACAGTGAGGACCAAAATTGCAAATTCAATAACTTGGGAAAAAAAATTATTTTGACCTAATATTTGGGATACTATTTTGGCGATGTTGTTTGGCGAGTTTAGCAAAATTTCAAGCAAATCGGGGACCATGAAGAAATCGCCGGAGTACCCCTCTAGGTGTTCCCGGCTGTGCCTGGTGTTTTAATAAGGCATTTTTTCATCTACTTTTTTATATTCAAGCTTCATTTAATGAAAACTTCTTTAGCACCCTCTCAAAACTTAATTTGGCGAGCTTTTACCATTTTTATAGGTTGAATTCCTCGAAAACTTGAATACTCTGAAAGGAAAAGTCGAACAGAATGTTTCGGTCGACTGATATTCGATTGAAATTCGAAACCGAAAACATTTGCAGATGCCTGTCAAGAACTGCTTGTCGCGCCGCTCATTGCAGATTCTTAACGAGATGACCCAGCACAAAATCCGACTCTACGAGTTTCCCGACTGCGATGACGAGGAGGAGAACAAGCGCCAGAAGCCCCTCAGGGTGAGTGTTGGCACAGACAAATCTCGGCATGCACCGTGGGCCAGTATGTGTTTGATTACTCTTCCATTCCATGTTTGGAAAGGTGTAAGGTACGGGGCGATTTGTTTTATTTTCTCAGTAAAGCAGAACCCATTTTGACAGAAGCGAAGTAAAGGTTCTTGTTCCTCGCCTCTTGGCGTCGTGCAACCTGATGCCACGTTACAGAACGTGGCATCGCAAGGAATTGCGACTCGACACCGTGATGTCACGTAACAACGTGACACGTTGCGTGGCCCAGATGTGCATAGATATTGCTAATGCATTCTACAGATGAGAAGTTTGGGTGCCAGGTCAAAGGAGTGCCCTAAACCCTGTTGTTTTATTTTTCTTGTTTGACTGTAGCTTTGTTTGTTCTACTATGGTGCGTGGAATGTATCTCTGACCGGTGTTCCCCCGCGTCCCAAAAAGTGGTCCCTCGATTTCCTCCCGACGACGTCGTAAAAGTGTCGTGTTGTTGCCAGCCGCGATCCCGGCGACGTCACAGCGGCGACGGTGGTTGTGGCCGACCCCCGTTCTGCTGCCAATCACTTTCCAGCTTGACAGCTCGCGGAAGCTTTGGCAATGAGTAGTTGGGACGCTGCGACGGTGACGACACTCTTATATGCTCTTACTTTTTTGGCGGACGGCGATGTCCGAGGCCATGACACTCCGGGCTTTTGCGATGTTGTCTGTTGCCACTTCGGGACCGCTTTCGACGCGTAGTGTGGGACGGGACGCCATAAGTGCCGGTCGGAGAGGCGTTGCAGGCACCGTGGTCGTACGGCAGTTTTGTGGTGGCCTGAGAGAGTCGGGGCACGTGGCCCTTGTGGGGCCTGTTCCCAGGAGCGGGTGCCCTTTGCGGTGGTGGGCAGCAACACGGTGGTGGAGGTGAACGGCAAGCGGGTGCGCGGCCGCAAGTACCCCTGGGGGGTTGCAGAGGGTGGGTGACCGCCGCCCGTCCCCGCTCGCCCCCGGCGCTCACCCCACCGTTTCCCTTGCAGTGGAGAACATGGAGCACTGTGACTACCTCGCCCTGCGCAACATGCTGCTCAGGTGCGTGAGGCACCCTAATAAAAGCTTCTCAAATATTTTTTTTTTATAGCAATAGTTGTTATGGGTTATTTCCCCCACTGGAAATGACGTCCCTTGTTGATGCTGTAGTATAGTAGTTGGTGATCCTCGAAAAAGATTGCTAGCCGCCTACGGGAATCACCTTGGACCCGCTGCATGTGAAGCGGAGGCGTTACCATTGAGCTACACCACAGCATTAAGAACCTGCTCCATACCTAGGGTTTTTGTAGTATCCAACGCCTAGTTTGTGTGTGGTCCGGAAAAAAAGAGATAGCCGATAACAAAATGCTCTTGTAGCAGGCACGTAGCAAGGATTTTGCTTTGGGGGGTGCCCACCCATGACAAAATGCTGTATGAGGGGGAGGGGGGAGAGGAGGCCCCAGCAAAATTACATATTTCGGGGGGGGGGGGGGGGGGGGGCCGGGCCTCCTCCTCCCGCCCCCCTGGCTACGCGTCTATCTTGTAGCACCGTCAATGCCAAGAGCTTGCGCCGGGAGACGCGCTTTCACGGGCTCTGGAACAAAGAAGAAACAAAAGTGCTCTGAACAAAATGGTCAGATGTCTATTTTGTTTTGAGCGCTCTCGTTCACGCACCTTGGGGTCCGTTGATGGCGACGCCGATGTCCGACTACTTCGCAGTGACTTGTCACAGCTATCGCTTAAACTGTACTGTGGACTAACATGGGACTAAGAAGCCTGACAAGGCACTGGTCCCGTACAGTTTACATAAATACCCGAATAAATGGACAGAAAAAATGCATTCGGCTAAACTTAACCAAACTGGAACATAGCCATCTACATCTTCTCAATCGCGTAGAAATATAGAAATAACAAGAAAAGAAACAGTACGAAGTACACAAGATGCACAAACGATTCAATATATGAATGTAAACAGATGATGCAAGACCCCTCACAACATGAAGAAGGGAAACCTCGTAAGCACAAAATCTTCATACATACCTGCCTCGAACGGCAGTTGGGAAGCCCCTCCCAGCCTAGGCATTGACGAAATAAAACGGCGCAGAAGCCCGCAGACCTTACAAACGGTAATAAACATACCAAGGAGTGTTTGGCTTATAGTTATGCACCAATGGGCAACTAATGTTACGCGCTAATGGGTGACCCTACAGTAGTCGTCCAGTGGCGCGCCTCTCTCATCAGGAAGGGAGGCCGTGTAACAGAGGTTTTGCTTGTCCTCCCCCAGGACCCACATGCAAGACCTAAAGGACATCACCAACAGCGTGCACTACGAGAACTACCGGTGCCGCAAGCTGGCCGGGGGCGCGGCAGACCCCGGCCGGTCCAACAAGTGAGTTTCCTCGGCGCCCCCTTCTCTCCCGGCTGCGCGGTGCCCTTTCCCTCGTCCGCCGCCCCCTCTTCTCAGTCGTAGGGCCGCCGCAGCCATTTAGTTTCTGCTGCCGAGAGCACCTTGCCGTCCGCTTTCAGTTGCGTAGCAATGCCCGGAGCGAGCCTCTGACCGGTGTGTTTGCCACATCCTCAAATGCCTCTTTCAATTTCCGCCCAACAAAGTCGTAAAAGTTTTGTGCCCGTCGCGTCACATGCGTGCGGCAGATGCCTCTTCTGCTGCGAGTCGCTCCGCAGCCAGACGGTCGACGGAAGCCAGAGCAGAATGAGGCGGGACGCCACTTCGGCGGCGATCCTTGCATCCTTTTTACTGGCATTCCAACAACTACCCACCGGGATCGCGACAGCCAATGGCTTGACATGCCAACTCGTGGAACGTAACTTTACTGTAGAACGTTTTTGGCTAGGTGTTTGGCATTTCGTGAAGCCCAAAAGCGAAGTCTGGATAAAAGCGTGGCCACAGGGCTCGACGTCGACCGGTTAATGGGGAGGTCGCGTGACCGGGCGGGAAGTGAGGAGGGGACGTAAGCGAGGTGGGAGAGGAGGAGTGGGTTAGAAGGTTCTGGAAGATCACCGGGTTTATCATATCAAGTGTATGCATGCCACGCGTTAAACTATCCGACGACGAGGGCTGTGAATGTAGGCGTCCTGTCGAATAGGCTAGACGTGCTGCCATGCTACAACTTACGCAGTGCTGGAACGATTCACAAACGCGATGCGATTGCCTAGAAATTTTCCGCATATTTTTTTCCCCTTGGGACCTTTTTGGGAGCACGAGCGAGACGGGACGGCAGAGGCGCCGGTCGGAGGAGGCGCGTTGCGGGCATTGTAGTTGCGGAAGGGACTGTTGTTAATTGGTGCACACTGCTTGTTTGCTAGTGGTTGCCCACAAAGGATACTGAACACTCATATGGTGTTCTGGTAAGTTTCACCTTTTGAGCTTGGAGTCTTCCCCTCTTGTGTCCCTGAGGCGTCCTTCTTCTCTGTTGTCTTCGTCTTGTCGTCTGGCGTTCTGGTTTGTTTTGCTGGGCTTGCCTGCGCCCGCATCCCAGTTGCGTTGCCTGTGACGCGTCTCTAACTGGCGTGCATACCGCGTCCTCGTTTGTGGTCCCGCTGGTGCCCGCCTCGATCCTAGCAGCGGTACGGCGGCGGAAGGGTTCGCGACGGGCGTCCGTTTTGCATGCTCAGAAAACGTTTAGCACGTGCTTCTCGTCACCGAGGTAGCGCAGAGTCTGTGGTGCGTCGCTGCCACTGTCGGCACCGAGTCGATGCACTGTTAGCGCCGCATTGTGTGTGTATGTCAAAAAAGGCAGGTTGTCGTGCGGCGAAATGCCGATACGGCGCCGATATAGTGCAATGTTGGCACTGAGTCTGTAACGCCGAGCTCAGGGAGTAAAGACTGGAGCAGAGTGCAGCAAATCCTGAGCTCCAACATCGATGGTTTTGAGAGAAAGAGCAAAAGAGCGACAAAAGAGCGGACAAAAAAAGCAGACAGAAAGTTACGCGCATTCGTTTTGCCGCGACGAGCTGGAATCGCTCGAGCGCTCGTCAACTTTATTTAGTTTCATACAATGCACGATTCCGGTGTTTTCCCGCAAAGTAAGGTAGAAAACGGGCCCATCAGGACCGCCGATATCCGCGTCTATGCGCCGCCGTTTCCAAGCGACCCCAATGCATATGACCCCTCCCTCTAGGTTATTATATTAACTCTGTGGCTGAGTTAGCTTAGTTGTCCATGTTTGACCGAGCCTGTGACACGCCAGTTGAAGACGCGTTCTCGGCACCGTAGCGGCTTGTCAATCGCAGCTTGTGCCGTGCTCTGCGGAGACTAGCATGGTGTGCATGACTGCCTGGGGGGTATGGGCGGCCGGCGGAAGTGCAGGCTTTGGCATGCTGGCGTCTTTCCCGAATTGTTTTTGCAGTCGGATGGCACCGGGGGTGCCTAGGGCCATTGAATAAGCTACACTTCAGACTCACCCAACTTTGGCCGTCTTCGGGCTCAAAATTGGTGTTTTCAATTGTCCGAAAGTTGGTCCAAAATGGCAGGAGAAGCGCCTTTTCGATTTCTAGGAATATCCGAAATGCCGTCTCGGCATTTCGGCAGTCCGAGACTGATTAAGATGATATCTCCTGAGCTTCGTGACTAATCATAGCTCGTTTAGTGGCTCTAGGGACTCCCAGTAGTAGCCTCTGATTCCTTGGTCGTGAAAACTCCGCACCTTGATAAAAACTGGTTTAGGCGATACAATAGTACCTCATTGAACTCCCATAGGTATTTGTGTATCGTTTTCCCGTTCGTTGCGTGTATCGATTCCCCATTCGTTGCATTTGCCTTGCTGGTTGTTACTTTCGAAAACCACCATCCAACGCAACGTTCGTGGCTGCACTTCTTTTTTTTCCCCTTTGCCCTTTTTTGTTTTTGCTTCCGCGGCGGGCTTTTTGTGACTTTCTTGCCCGGGCAGGTATGACCTTGAACAAGGTTGGCTCGGAAGGAATTGAGGCTTTTGCAATGGCCCGTTAGTCTTTCGGTCTCCTTCTCTGGCTCGGGCCGTGCCTGGTAACTTGGCTTCCTCGGTTTTCTGCTGGGTTCAATTTGTGGGGAGTGTGGAGTTCGTAATTGTGCACCGTGGGTTCGTCGTCGTTTGTGTCGGCGCGCTCATTGAGATCGGCGTACTAGAGTTGCCTACAAGGCTAGAACGGTAGGGAGATTCCTTGGTTACCCCGCGTCTACGCCAAGCTTCCTACCTTGATGACGCTTTGGCTTCCCGTGAACTTCGAGCGTGCGCTCACAGCCAAAGCGGGGCTGTAGGCAACAAGCACACGCCGGAGCCAGTGCATTCGGAAGAGGCGCCCTAGCCGTTCTCGTCTTGGCAGTCACTAGGAGGATCATCTGGGTTAGCTCGACGGACTCGGAAGTGTCGCTCACTCTTGTAGATCAACCTTCTTCCGTTATGATTGTAGATCGACACCCAATTTTAAATAGCAGCTCTGTAAAAAAGAAGAAACGATTTGTCAAAAGATTAACCTAGTCTGAAATTAGTCAAATGAAAGAATTTTTGAAGATGCTGTACGTTTCCCCACGCACAAACTCCAGAGATGTTTGGAACTCACCCCAGCAATACTTCCGTATTGTTTGGCAATGCTTGCAGTGCTAAAAATTTATGAGATGTCACATGTTTTAAAATGCGAGCGGTGTATTTGGCTGCAATATGACGTAAGTGGAATTGGCGCAATCGAAACCGAAGCTTAGTGACCAACCGATATCCAAGATGCATTGTGCGATACCTCGCTGCTAGGGCTGCTTCGATTCTGGAAGAAGTCTATTATTTTGTGTTTCGGTTGGCTTTGTATTTGTATTTTATTTGTTTTTTAGGCGCTTGATCTCTGTTATATGAACGTCATTTAGGTGCTCTTGACCCATTTACCTCGGGTATTCCCTCGGATCCTCAGGAAAGGAATGCGATTCTAATTTTATGCAGTGTTAAAGATCGGGGACTAGGGCAGGAAAATGGAATTCTAAAGTGGTAGGAAGTAGCAAAGGGTGGGTAGAGAACATCTCAAACTCCGCCACCATATTTATTCAGTCGCTTTTCTTATATACCCGCAAACAGCTGCCTGTGTATGCCAGTGTTGCGCATGCTGCAATGTCCAGGCGCAGGGGAAAGTTGTCGCATTTGAAGCGGGCCTTAGACGGCTCGTGGCGTCCTTCCTGGCTCATCGTCGGATGAGGCGGGCCTTAGCCTCCTTGGCGTGTTAGGGGAGGGATGTGGGTGAGCCAGCCTGCTGCAAGGCCCCCCCGTGCGTGCTTGCGGGTGTGTCCCGGCAGGAACCCCCTGGCCCAGATGGAGGAGGAGAAGAAGGAGCACGAGGCCAAGATGCAGCGCATGGAGAAGGAGATGGAGCAGGTCTTCGAGATGAAGGTGCGCGAGAAGATGCACAAGCTCAAGGAGTCCGAGGCCGACGTGAGTTGCCCCTGCCGGCTCGTTTCTTTATCTATTGATTTGCGTTCCCTTAAAGGGATGCTGAACCGATATCTCAAATCTCATTATTATTGCCTGAGCGGGCTTCACGGGATGGTACTGTACCTAAAAACGATATTCAATCAGACGGATGGGGCCCGAATTATTATATTTCTTTGAATTAAGAGCGAATCCTCGGCCGGAAGCTGCCGGCGAGAGCGAGTCCTTCTGAGAGCAGGCGGAACTGACGTGTGCATTCTCGGAGCCCCCAGCGCCCCTGGTGCCTCTGCGCATTCTCCTCGTTCGTTGGGGCTTGCCTTAATTCTTCGCTCGGCGGCTGTTCTCAAAGTGGCTGGTACTAACTACAGTACTAACAATAACAAACGCCACCCGGCTTAACGCCTGGCTTGGCTCCGTCTGTCTTTTGAGGCGAATGAGAATGCGCATGTCACGGAGCGAGCTTTCCACGACGCTCACCAGGGGTCGCGTAAAATTGTATTTTTCGTGTTTATTCAATTTTATACGCATTCTCGCTCAAAACAACGTCATTTAGAAGTAAAGGACATGCTATGTATGCCATTGCGACCAAGAATTTCCACCCAAAATTTCGGTTCAGCATCCCTTTAAAGGGGCACGAAACCACTTTCTGCGATAGTTCATTTATGGTCATAACTCAATCTACAGGCTCTAAGCATCCTAAAAAACAAAACTTTACGTTCATGCAGGGCCGATTTCTCTACTAAAATTGTTATCAAATATCCATTACCTCAGAACTATAGCTGACACCAGATGGCGCCACCGGACGAGGAGAAGGGCTTCTCCTCTGGTTCTCGTGGTGTCGGCAATAGTTCCGAGGTAATCAATCCTTGATACCGATTTTGATAGAGAAATCGGCCACGGACGAATGTAATGTTGTTTTTTTTTCTTTTTAGAATGAGTAATGACCACAAATAGGCTACATGTTGTACGCTCCGTCTCACTCTTCAATTTGACTGCAGCTAACAGTACCATTCGGTGGAGCCATTCAAGCAGCGCCAAAGGTGCATTGTCACGGCACTTGTGGTCCGCGACTGTGGTACAGTGTAGACCGCATATAACGTATGTCGCGGGAGTCGCGAAAATCCGCACTATAAGTGGTACTGCGCTATAACCAAAACATCAATTTTTCAGGCCAAAATACACACCATGAGACAACTTACCTTCGTAAAACAATTTATTTTATGTTACATGAAAAATAAAGCTTAGTTTGAGGAAAGTCTTTATTTCACCAGACTAGTACACTTCTCTCTCAAGTGTGTCACATTTTGAAAAAAATAGGCGACTTTTGCCTGGCACAGCCTTTTCACGGCGTCACGGGTTGCGGACGGACGTTGCGAGCGTTCAGGATTGCTAACCCTAATCACTTTTCTCCGGCGATGAAAACGCGCGAAAATTCGTATCCTTTATATGGTACACGCCAGTGATACCTTCAACTTTAGCACAGGCATGAAATGCTCCAAACAAGAAATCCGGGCGATGTTCGAAAACACAAATGCTTAGAAAGCACCACCGTAGTCAAAGTAAACAAACACGACGACACGGGCGTTTCTGCCGTCTTGAGAGTGCCGCCACGACATCGCCGCATGAGTAGGTGGATCTTCCCTTCTAGTACGTGCTGGGTTATCATAGCGACACACAACGAAAATTCACAGTCAAGGATAGCGCTTTTACGCGGAACGATGAGCTTCCACCATGCCGTCTACGTCGACGATCAGAAACAACGCCATGTTTGCGGATAGAAGAAGCCGGCCTGCGACCGGCATGCAACGCGTGCGAACACTTTTCCTCGACCTGCGATTGGTCTGTCGTTGGGTTGTTTCCAGCTATAGAGTTGGTCGTGGTTTCCAGCACGTTTCGAGCGCAGCGGGAACGACATGTGCATGTGTCCCTCCGCCGTTATGGCAACTGAAGCCTCTCTCTTCGCTTCTCCCCGCTTCTTCGAGCAACCTCCTTGCCCCGCGAGGGCCGCTTGCGGCTAGCGCCGTTACCTAGTCGGCGCGCTCGGCGGGCTGTTCCAGAAACTGCACTATAACCGGTATTTCCCTTTGCGCGCCTGCATTTTAAGCGGTATGTAATTACATGGAGTTCTATGGGAGGCGAACCGGTGGTTTAAAAAAGCCGCGTTATACCCGGTCCTGCACTATAAGCGGCTACGTCGTAAGTGGTCTATACTGTCTTGCTGGCCAAACCAAATGCGCACAAAAAAACCGCAAGATCGCGGCACATCCATCGTGCATCTGGGCTTGATCGCTGATAGCAAATGCATTTTTGGCGCTACTTGATTCTCGCCGTCAAATTGTTGTTTCAGCTGTGGGGTATAGTTGTGGTTTGCCACTAATGGGTAAAATTTTATGTGATGCCATTGAAGGCATTTGAAAAGAAAACTCTCATTAGTGATATTTCACCTAGGAATCTAAGGATTGTGGTCAACGACTTTTAAATTGCACCTCTCGCAGATTATCATGAGTCCGGCCAGAACTAGCGGCACTGAATAAGCTGCGCTGTGAATCAACCGCTCTTCAGCCTCCTTGGGGCTGTTTGGTCATAACACTGGTACTGCACTGGCTAAATTTCTCATCTACAGTGGGGTAAACCCGACGCCCACTGGGCACAACGCAATTTTTACGTTATATGGGAGATGTTACTCCTAGCGTTCGCCCTGCTAAAGCTTGTCCGGCAATTCCTAACTCGCAACGGACGAGACTGCCGTTGACCGGCCCGCGTTCTCATTCTTTGGGGCGGTGCGGTTGCAGCTGCAACGGAGGCACGAGCAGATGAAGAAGAGCCTGGAGCAGCAGAAGCTGGAGCTGGAGGAGAAGCGGAGGAACTTCGAGAAGGAGAAGGCAGCCTTCGACCTGGCCCACCGCGACATGGACGACGTCTTCCGCAAGATGGCCGTCGACAGCAACTCAAAAGAGTGAGTGTGCCGAGGGGGGGATGGCGCCTGGAACGCGTCTCCAACAGGCGCGTTTACCGCGTCCTCGGAGGTGGTCTCTCAATTTCAGCCGCTATCTTGGTGGTGACACGGCAGTGCAGGTCGATGCGGCAGGCACCTGTTCTGGTGCAAGAGTCTCTGCAGCTTAACAGTGCCATATTTTCCAGACTATGCGAACCGCAAGTTCGTCTGCTTCTTGCATAGGAGTTGCAAGAATGTCGGAATGCCAAGCTCTTGTTGTCTGATTGAAAACAAATTAAAGACGTTTGCAAATCTCTGTAATCCGAAACTAGAGTGCAGCTCTTGAGTAGGAGGAGGGGAGGGTATGCACCTCCTCCTCCATACCCTTCCCTTCTCTCCTCCTCGTCCTCCTCCCCTCCTGCTCCTTCTGTCGCTGAATTTGTAATGGGTGACGCGACATGCAGTCGTGACGTCATTTTCCCCGCTAAATGTAGCGGGGAAACCGAATTAGTGTTGAGGTCACGTGACATCAATTTCCCCACTAAATTTAGCGGGGAAAGTTAACCCGCTAAGTTTAGCAGAAGAATTATACGGGGAAACGTCCCATGATGCAACGCACGTGGTTACGCTGACGCCGCTCAACCCGGAAATGGGCACTTAAGAGCTGCGCTCTAAAAAGTAGTGGGTTGACCTCGAGGCATCTGGCATTGAGACCTACCCACTATCCTTTCAGTCAAAGCCAGTCATAGCTTGGCGTCGTTCTGACGTCAATGCAACTCTTGCGCAAGAGTTAAACAACTTGATGCATGGTCTGCAAAAGCAAATATCAGATGGAAAAGGAAAAGAAAAAGTTTTTTCTTCGTTAGGTTACACAAAAAATTTTCATGCAACACATCTTGACATATGTCTTCTTTATTAGCTCACAAAGGGGCCTGTTTCAACATAAATAATTAATAAGATACTTTCTCATTCACAAAATTCATTGTGTCTCGACATAGGAGCGATCTACAAAATGGCAAATCCTAGTGATCGCTCTTTCTCATGTGGGTTGAAACATGGTGGCACCAGTGTGCGAAGAGCCCCCAACGACTTCCGGTTCTGGACTAGACGGCGGGGTTCACAGTATTTGCGCAGTCAAATATACACGCTATCTTCTGGGGATGGCCACTTATAGCACTGTCAGACTTAATTCACTCTCGTGATAAAAGAATGATGAGTAAAAAAATGGGAACCGGAAGTGTGCCGAGGCTACCCAATAGACCTTGCCACATAGTTTGTTGCCAAACAAAAAAGGGCGAACAGTCTGCTGCGGAAAATTTTAACTTTTAAATATGTGTAGGCTATTTCACTTGGGTGAAAGGAGAGGGAAAGGGAACCACGACGTTTGGGCTGTTCCCGCGGTACAGCCCCCTGTAATCGCCCAAACGTTGAGAACGGCCCAATCTTTTCATCTGCCATGAGGGTTGGATGCATACCCTTTCCCTCTTTGCAGAATCCATTGAAATGCCCATGTGTGTGTGGATGGCATTTCAGTCAAACAAAATGGCCCCATCCAGAGCCCATAGTGGAATGGTCTATATTACGACAAATATGCTAGACACATGCTTAAAGAGAGAGGAGTTGGGATGCCACGACGGGGGCTCCTTGCGGGGCCTTTGGCAAGTGACCGCCAGGATCGCAACATCCAACAGTGTGACAAGCCAGCTCCTGCGACGTCATTTGTTGCCACTTCAGGACCACTTTCGATGCACGGGCAGTACGAGATGCTAAACACACCAGTTGGAGACGCATCCCAGGCACTAAAGACAGCAGGCCGCTTGGGGGGGGGACGCAGCATCCGCGGGGGGACGGCGGACGTTTGCATTTTGCACCCTCGGTCGTGCCTGTGCCCTGGGGGGAGGGGAGACAGCGTCAGACAGCGTCAGCTACAGCGGGGCTCTTCTTGTTTCAGATTGCGAAGGTCTGTGTCCGAAGACCACTTGGGTAGACGCAAATGCACGCAGTACGCCGAGCCGCTCAAAAAAAACTGCAAGCAGATGTAGGGGCTCATGGACAACGCCCTTCGCCGTCCGTCAAGTCCAAAGGCTGCGTCGGAGCGTCCCCTCTCGGCGTGTTCTGGCCCGCTCTTCCGTTTCTTTTTGGTTTTTGTTTTGCCTTCGTTTGCTGCTTCTCGTTTTTTTTCCCCCTTCTTCGAGCACCTTTCTGTTATCTTCCTTTTTTTTTTTGAGGAAGCTTTTGTTATAGGTTCGGCATGTTGCTTGGCCGCCTTCTTACTTGTTGTTGTTTATATAAATATCTCGGTATTCATTTAACATCTGACCTTTCATGGACGTCTCACATCAGCAATATAGTAGCTAGCGCAAACCGTACCCTCGGTTTTTTGCGCCGAAACCTGAAACCCGCAACAGCAGAGATAAAACAATTAGCATACTCAACTTTGGTTCGGTCTAAGCTTGAATTCGCTTCTTCTGTGTGGTGCCCTTGGCAATCTTACCTATCTAACAAACTTGAATCCATCCAAAACAGGGCTCTTCGTTTTATTTTTTCTGATTACTCACCATTCACGAGCATATCTGGATTGCGCGAAGCAGCTAACCTTCACACGCTTTCATTGAGGCGCCGAGTGTCCCGTCTCTCTCTCCTTCACCGAATCTTTCACTATAACATGCCTCTTCGTGAATCTCTGCTTTTACCCCCGTGGCAGATTTTCCCCCGCTTTGACCACTCCTGCAAGTTGCGGCCCATTTTTTCGTCAACTACTTCATACAGTAATTCAACTTTACCTTTGGCAATAAACGATTGGAACATACTACCAAATGACATTGTTACCATAACTGACACACATAAATTTGCCACCTCTGTAACCACTTTCATCTCTTCATTATCCGACTAGTTCTCTCTTCTATTGTGTTAAAATTGCGTGCGGAAGTGTTCGATTAAGAAAAATAATAACAAATGTACCACTCCCTTGTGTAATGCCCGTAAGGGCCTTCAAGGATAATAAATGACGATGATGATGATGACCTTTTGGTATGCAGAAAATGCATGTACATACAAGCCTTCTCAAAGTTATTTTGTTTTAACTGCACAGCTGAAGCTGAAGTGTTGAAATCTGCTCTAGTCACCTCTCTTTGTTGCCCCTTATATTCCAAAGCTTTTTTATGTATCGAACAAAAAAGCCAAACCCAGCAAAATATATATATATATTTTGTTTTACAAACCTGGTGTGCACAGACAGTCATGTGCTACCTTGCAAAGGGCATTCTACGTCGGAAGCCTGGGGATTCAACGGGCAAGTGCTTGGATGGGGGCTGAATGTGTTCAAACAGGTTTAATGGTGGCGCTTGCTCTGCCACCAAGCTGGAACCATGCAACTAGACACTAAAGAACGGGGCGTTAGTTTGGTGCAGAGTGGGCAGTGGAAGTCGGTTGATAGCTAGTGAGTTACTGGAGGAGAATTGTTTCGTTAACTGAGCTTTGATCATTGATAATCGGCCGATTATTGTTGTTTCATGGCCCAACTTGTTTGCCTCTTTGCAACATTGTCACACGCTTTGCATCCGTTGCTGGAGCTTTCCGAGGCCTCGCTGCTTGTGTCTCGCGAGTGCCCTGTCATGTGCGATGGTATGCAGCATGTTGTGATGTTTACCAAGTGAATTGTGTCTGGCATCCTGACCTTGCCAGCTCTCCTGACCTTTTTCTCTCAAGCTTTGAAGCACCTCTAAGTGTGACCTCTGAGATGCGACTGCAGTGGAAATAGACAACTTTGGTGCAGGCACGTCTCTTCCAGCATGGTTGTCCCGCTGTAATTAGCGACGAGTGCAGTTTTGTCGTAATCTAGTTGATTGGGTGAACCCTCCACTTGGATGCGCTGGTTTTTGAGGCGGTCTTTTAGCGGGCCGGGAAACAAGAAACCTTCCCGTCCCTTTGAGAAACCTTCTCGGAGAGACGGGGAATCTTCTTGGTTCAAAGGGGAGAAAAACCCTGTTTTTTCGTGCTGGGGGCCTGTGCATGTTTTGAAGCCATTGAAATCCAAGGTGTGTGTTCGCCGAGGCCCATCTGTTTCTGGAAGCCCTTGCGTGGTTGAAAGGAGCAGCTTGTCTGCCACGGAGCAGCCTACTGGCCCGGAGAGGCACCCCCCTAAACACAGCCCAACTATTTTTGCAGACAACTGGACGGGAAGGAAAAGCGTAAGGAAAAGAAGAAAGGGCTCTTTTAGAGGGTTGAGGTCTCGCCAAGCATTGCTGCTGCCGCGCCCGCAGCAAGAGGACCCGTGGTCGGGTGAACCGACGTCTCCCTCTTCGCCTCTGCTCTTCCCATGCGGGTGTGCTGACGAGCGGCGGCTCCGATAGACCGGCCGGGTTGAGAGCGTATCTCCAGGAAGGGGAACAAGTGGAGGGTTTGCTCGCGTGCAAGCCGGACAAAGCGCTCAAAGGACCCTCGTTTATTCGGTGCAGGATGTGTTCGTTAACTGTGTAGTGCTTTTCAAAAATGCCATCTCGTGTAATTGTGCCAGTAATGTGTCGTTTTTATGCCGGTTGCCTCGACTCTCCGACGATCGAGGTGGGATTTTCTAAAGTCCGTCGTTTGCCACGGCCGAGGAATCTGAAAGTTCAAGGCTCGCTCACACATACACCTGAGCGCTACTTCAGCGCTAAAAGTGGGCACTGGAAACAGCACTGACCCTGCTTATGTGGCACTGACTTTTTACGTTATATATGATAGAGCGCCGCACTAGTGTGGACCGGCCTTAAGGCTGGTTCACACACGTATCTCGGGGCTGCATCAGCGCTGCATTCTGTGTGTATGCAAGAGAAGGCAGCATGACACGCGTCTGAGCGCCGATACAGAGCTAACATAGTGCAAAGTTTGCACTTTTGCTAGTGTGCCGAATTAGTGCTATGGTGCATCTGTGAACAGGCCTTTACTGCAACGGTCACAGTGTGGTCACAAACAAACCGAAGAACTTCTTTCAGCTCTGTATTGGGACTTGACTGGTGCCATAGCTATCTCAGTCTGACCTACCTGCGCTTCACATTGCAATCAGTACGCCCGTCAGACAACATTCCTACGAGCACACGTAGCAGGGCTCTGCTGAGGTGCTTTTTTTTTTCACTGTGTGAATGGTGTTTAGGAGCAATTTAAATGCGCCGAGAAGAGTCGTGTTTGTGCAGCGGCGCCATTGAAACCTCGATGCAAAGATATAAGGCGGATAATTTCTCTCGCACGGCCAAAGAATACCGCTTGTGTTTTGCTGTTTCTTGTGTCTTTCAGTTTATATTTATGTATAGGTATGCATTTTTGGCTATTTATTTGTGCTGGCTCAGCCCACCGCTCAAGTAGATGCCATTGGAAAAAAAAAGAAATTGTTTTCATTCCTTCGTATAAATTTTGTTCAGTGTTTTTTTGTACAAAGGTAGTATGAATAAACATTTTAAGCTATGGAAGTGTGAAAAGCTTGTTATTTATTGGCTCAAGCTGCTCCGTAGGAGCCGTGATGGCTCTTTTGCAGGTCTTGGCGCAACGCAGCTGGAGCTCTATACTCGGCGTCGGCTATTTTGTAGTGCAGTGTCGAGGCTAGCATGTCTTCCACAGTGCTGTAGCCTCACGCTGCTGCAAGAGCACGTAGCTTCGTCTTGCATCTCATTCGCTCGAGCAAGTAGCTTTGACAGCGGTTGAGCACTACGGGAACTAAGCTATACTTGGCAATGTAGTAGTTGACGCAAAATGTGGAGCCATTGGGCACAAACATTGCAAAGGTGTTAGGGATGTGTGGGCAGTAAGGAAGAATGCTGTCACAGCTCAATGAAGACACATTCTGTAGGGAACTGCAAACTCCTTGAATGGATGAAAGACCAAATGCTATCTTGACAAGTCCTGCCGTTTTGCCATGGGATTCAGCGGGCCTGCTAATTGGTTCATTGGACAAAGAGTGCTACATATCTGCTCTGCTTCGCTGCAGACTATATTGAAATGCAATTATGTTTTTTTTTAGGGACGAAGCTCCTTAGGGACTAGCCTTGTCCGTCCGGCGTCCGTGCTCACATCGATCTTGCTGGTGCTCGTGATCGTGATCGCGCTCGTGATCTCACGTGCTCGTGTAGGGCAAAAAAAAAATGATGAAAAAGAAATGTTTGCGCAGTCGACAGGATTCGAACCTGTGCGGTGAGACCCCATTGGATTTCTAGTCAATAGCTTTAACCACTCGGCCATGACTGCGGGACGAGTACGGGGCTTTGAGATGTGGTAGTAACTCAAGAGCTGGGGGTGTCATGGATGAAACGTTGCATGTAGCCGCTCAACGTCTATACAGGAGAGGGCGCTGCGGTCAAATGCGTATATAATCGCGTTAAACTTTGCATGCATTGGCTCAACGTTTATAGACGAGAGAGTGCTGCGGTCAAATGCTCAAATGCGTATATAACCACGTTCCATACCACACATTCTCTTTCTGACATGGATGAAAACGAACGAAAGGCTCAGCATGCGGCGGCTCAGCGTCTACGCAGACAAGCACCACCAGAGCTTCGCCCCAATCAACACCATTCACCATGTGGAGATGCGGTCATTTTTTTTAGAAAGCTATATTTTGTCTAAGGTGAGAGGAACCCTTGGCGGATAACTAAGCATCAAACGTCTGCACGTTTTCATTGAGGAAAGATGTTTTTTCTTACTTTACCTGCTAGTGTCGGCTGCAACATAAGAAAGACAGTACGAGGGGGGAAACTGAACACACGACGAAAACCGTTGTAGAAAGGTGGTCGCTCCTCTCCACTTCAGCTTCCCTGGTTTCCGCCCTTTTCCCCCTTGCACCGTCTTTCTTATGTTGTATCTGTAGCCGTAGCGATAGCTTACGCCTTGCCCAGACTTGTACCCATTACTTGGAAAAGGTAATTAATTATAATCAATTATTTGGCTAAAATATTAGATTACGGTTACAAATTACTGACTGCAAATAATTACTTCACTGTGTTCAATTGCTTCAAGAAAGACATGCAAAAACGTGATTTGCACTTAGTATCCTTGTATGTGCCAATCAAATAACATTTGCTATTTGTAAGTAGCAACTAGTAATTTGTTTTCCCCACAGCTGAAGTGAACCAATAGGGGCGTGACAGTATGATCTATCCACAACATTTGTTCTTCGATTTCCGCCACGGCGGTACTTGTCCCTAAACGCGAACCCAAATATTCGGTGATAAATTGATTGTTACTGAGCGCAGTCTATGTGACTCATGCTCGTATCGAATTCAAGATTTGATTTTGTTTTACGTGCGGGGACACTGCGGATCATAGAATGAGATTATGTGATCGGCGAATCGGCTCGCCTGTCTATGAGCCTTTTGCGCGTTCAGGTTCGTTCACACAGTTGCGACTTTTTAGAGCTGATCGCCTTAGACTCTCTTACGATGGAGTAGAGTTCCTGTATATAGCTACCTACGGTAGCAGAGTTGTGCATTCAGCCTCGGCGGGTGGCCGTAGCGCCGGCTTTCCTGCACGCCCTGGATGCTTTGCTCCTCACGCGACTAAATTTGGCGAATAGCGGCGCCGCGCGCGCCGCCGCCGCGCATGGAAAACAAGAGAGGAGGAGAAGGAGGCGAAAGCAGGGGAACATATGCCGCGAGCAACGTCGGCGGAGCGACCGTGGCTTTCTTGCACGGCGCCGGATGCTTTGCTCCTCACGTGATGGATCTCGGCGAATAGCGGCGTGGCGGCGTTGGGAAAACAAATGCGCAACTCTGTTCCCCCTTCGGGGGAGCATATCGAGGAAATCTACGACGGAGCAGAGCCGTATATCGGGAGAGTTTGGCCAGTGAGTGTGGCGAACAAGGCGCCGGAGAAAAGTAAATGAAAGGGAGGAGAGCGCCGAAGGAGCGAGAGAATTGAGCAGAGAGGAGACGACCGCCATTTTTTCGCAACGCTGTCGGAGAAGAACACTGCTGAGGCTACGCGTCGTGTGCTACGGGCCGACTTCTTTTTCGCCTGAATAAAAGTTTGTGGCCATACGCCGAAAAATCTTCATTTATTGGCTTTTTAACCCACGGAGGAAAAACATTATGTCATTTTCTTGCCAGAGCGAGCGATATAAAAGGAAATACCTCTGCGCCGCGTGCTGATTGGCTCACTTGGGAAGAGAGCGTTACGGCGGCGAGATCATAGACTAACCAAACTTTCCCCATATACGGCTCTGCGATGGGGAACACGCTGGCGCCATCTATGCGGTGACCCTGGAAGTGCATTTTACGAGAGCGGAGGTGTGGCGGTATTTGCGAGGCCAAATGTATGTTCTACTGATGAGAAATGTTTGTTTATAACATTGACAAATTTTTCAAGCCAAAAAAGAATGAATGATGCGCGAAAGAAATTTAAAATGTGCGGCACCGCTCACTGTTCCACCGCTACCCGATAGGTAGTGCCAGTGTGTCCTCTCGTAAGAGAGAGAGAGAGAGTCGGAAAAGGAAAAACGGAGGTTAACCTAGGTTAAAGTCCTGGCTGGCTACTCTGTATTGGAGAGGGGGTAATGGGGAATTAAAAGAGGAAGGAAAGTATAGGAGGACATAAAACAATAAACACGTCTAAAAAAAAGAAGTATAAATCACACTAAAAATAATGCATGTGTGCGAGAGACCGCAGAAGTTCTCCGCCGACCCGCTGACCCCCTTCTCCAGTCACGCATGTGCGCGCCCGTTGGCTGGGAGCAGACCCTACTGGAACAAGGGGAACGGATCGGATTCACTGATCACTGTGCGATTCCAGTGCGTTGCGTCTCACTGGATCCGACTGGTTACACCCCGAATCGCGCTGATCGGAACTGTCCACAAGTTTAGAACCTCGCGGATCTGAATTGGAACCGCTCCGATCTGACATTTTCGTACGGGCACCCTCACAGCTACACTCACCCTCAGCACCTCACTCACCCTCATTCTCACAGTCACACTCGCCTTCAGCCCTTCACTCACCCTCACTGAACCTCACGCCCCTCACGCACTCGCTGCCCTCACGGCCCTCACGACCCTCACGACCCTCGCCGCCCTCACGCACTCATGGCCCTCACGCCCCTCACTCACTCATGGCCCTCGCGCCCCTCACTCACTCGCCCTCGCGCCCCTCACCACCCTCATACCCCTCACGCACTGATGGCCCTCACGCCACTCACCGCCCTCACGCCCCTCACTCTCTCATGGCCCTCACGCACTCATACCCCTCACGCCCCTCATGCACCCATGGCCCCCAAGCCACTGAGGCCCGCTTCAGATGGGGCAATTTTGTCCAGAAACTTGACGTCGCAACACCAGCAACACGGGCCGCCCGCGTTCACACGCAGCAATCAATTGCTGCAAGTTGCCATCATCATCATGCAATTTTATTTTTCTTGCACTATTTAGACACACAATTACGCGCTATAACATGTTTTTAGGCATCTAAATCTCGTTGAGAATACTAATGCATCTTTCTGAAACAGTTTACTTACAAAAACGATCAATTTCAAACCAGAACCAAGTTTTTTGTTGCCATCATCACCGACATCAGGTATCACGTGAAAATATCGCATCCCTGATTGGATGCAGCCGCTTCAAACGTCTTCGAATTTTACCATTTGTTAGCCGGACCTGATCGCAGCATTTGGTGTCGATCTAGGGAAAGCTAGGGAACAACCCGCCAGCAACACCAAAATTGCTGAGGAAGTTGCTCCGTCTGAAGGGGTCCTCACGCACTCACCGCCCTCACGCCTCTCACGCGCTCATGGCCCTCACACCCCTCACGCACTAATGCCACTCACACACTCGCCGCCCTCACGCCCCTGACGCACTCAGGTCCCTCACACCCCTCACGCACTCACCGCTCTCATACCCCTCACGCACTCACGGCCCTCACGCCACGCACCGCCCTCACGCCCCTCGCGCACTCATACCCCTCACTCCACTCACGCACTCACGGCCCTCATGCACTCACGGTCCTCACAGCCCTCACGGCCCTCACAGCCCTCACGGCCCTCACTCATCCTCACACTTATGAATTTTCCTGGCTCAGACTCACTCACCCTCACCTCACCTGTGAAGATGAGGGTGTGTGAGGGCCCTCATGAGTGAGGTTTGCCGAGGTATGGTGCCTTCTATCGTTCTGCAGTTTGTTGATTTAGTGTTTTTCGATGATGCTGAGCAATTTTCTAATTAAAACCATGCCCTGAAACGCAATATTAAAAAAAAGTTAATTACGCAAAAATAGTTAACGACTTAATTACCCTGGACTTCAATGATTTTCCTAAATGGGCCCCTGGCCCAGGACCAAAACGACACAAGCCTTTTTTCGTTGCGATGAGTAGTTTTCGCAGGAGCGTTTTGGCCTGCGTTCTCTGAAACACCTTGTATATACAGGGTGTCATGAAAAAAATTTACAGGTTTTTTTTTACCGCAAAAATAAACTAGGCATCGCCGAACGCTCATTT